CATTGTGTCACCCCTCCTGTGCTGGCACCCGGGGCAGTGCCCCCCACCTCGCCCCCTCTAGCTACGCTACTGTGTGGGACACAGTTGAGCGAGAGATCAACTCCTTGTAACACCAAAGATGAACTAAAAGCAAGGATTATGGCAGCAATCATCAACTTAAGCAAGAAGACCATCCAGAAGAGTTTCAGAAGATTCTAAAGTTGACTGGAGACCATGGTTGAAGCCAATGACGATTTTATTGAATAAAATTACTCTTTAGTATTTCAAGATATTTTTTTTATTTTTGTATATTTTAGATGACAATTTATCTATCGCGCCGTGTATATATATTAGGTGCAAACAAATGTTTCCAGCATTTTTATATTAAAAAGAGAAAAATAGTTTTCTCCTGTGTATTCAGTCTTTACTTACCAAAAAATAGAATGTTGGGAACTTTGTTTTGACACCTAATGTAAGTTTGTTTTTTGACTGAAGTATAAGCTTAGATAAAAAGCCAGGTTTCTGAATGTTCATTTTTCAAGGATACCACACTTATTAGTTTGCAATTATGTGTGAGCTACACACATGAACATACCTGCACAATAAACAATTCACGCGTCTTCAATTTTGCAGATTACAAAATCAATTTCACTGAATCTCCTTTTTTTGTGAACATAGAACAAACAACATGACAACAGAAAAATTATAGCCCAATCAATTTGCTATATAATAATAATGAGTTTATCATATTGCTATATAATAAATATGAGTTTATCATATTGATATCATTTTATAAAACTATTTAGAACATATAGAAAATTAAAATCATTTCTTTATAAAAGCTTGAGGTGCCCTAGGCTGCAACATATACTAGTCTAAAGCATAATCTGGCTCTGGGAGCTAGGCTGAAGCCTCTACTAGCCTAAAGGATAACCTGGCCCTGGGACCTAGGCTGAAGGATAATCTGGCACTGGGTACATGCTTTAAAAAAAAAGAAGTGTACTTATCTTCCTCGTTGTCAGCTTTCAAGAAGCTGAACAATATATCGACTGAAACATTATCTTAAAAACAATAAAAATTAATATTGTACTAGTGTTTATATTTATAATTCATTCGTATTGGTATAAGGAAAGGAGTCAGGATTGTAGGGAGACAAAAAGCGATTATCTCCCTTTGGTTGAAATGGGTCATGTGATGGCCGTTTAGTAATGTTACTTTACAGTGTGACGAAAGTGGTTAATCAGTCAGATTCCAAGTCAAATGAAGTAGTTGGTTTTTTAACTCAGGCTCCTTGGGCCGAGCTGAGGCCAAATCTGCCCCCCACCAATCCATGCGGTGCTGCTAACAAGCCTATGCCACCTTTTACCTATGGAAATATATCTTCACCAGATATAGAAAATATCTCAATTTGGAAAAAAATCAAACTTGCGGAATATGTCCTTGGTGGTAACAGAGCAGATAAATCTGGCCTACTTGAATCTGAAAATCTTATTATGACTTCTCCAGAAACACACAAAAATCTCCGAAAGACCCAATTCATATTGGGAATTATTGTACATAAGTCTTCCTTTTTTCATGTTCTTTTTCACTCTGCTTGTTGTGTGGATATGTGTTATATTTTCTCTGTATGGGACACATGTAAATATATATAATTTTATGTATGACTTAGCAGCATAAAACTCTCTGAGAACAAAGTATGTTTATCATTCCTTTTCTTAATAATAATACCAAAGATGGGGGAAATGCAAATGGGAAAATAAGCGAATTTGAGGAGACTATGCTGGTGGATCACTTTATATTCAGAATAAATGGCAAATCAACACAAAAAGCCTTATTAAATGAAGGAAGAGATTTAAGGATTGCATCAGCTTTAAAAGTAGCAGAAATGGACGAAGCTACGACCAGACAACTAGAAGCTATTCATGCCCCGGCAGAAACAACGACCCTGCACGCGATTAAAAACAAAAGCGCGAGGAAATACAAACACTGTGCTATGGACCTTGCCCAGCAAATGGTAAAATGTGCATGAAGTTTAAGAAAATTGGCCACTTCACACGTACATGCCTCTCAAGTGAAAAAAGAACAGAAACGAGGATAACTGGTGCAAAGTTAAGACAAGTGTATTGATTTTTAAAAAATATTATCAGAAGGCTTTTTATTATTTTTGGTTAATTTATAATTGATTAGTCTGTGTGAAGAAAACTCTACAAACATTTAAATCTTGTCGTTCACCTGGCACAAAGTCGATAACAACATTCTCAATAAGTGACAAAACAACTCTTTTGTATATGAGAAAGAGATTTGAATTTATATACAGAAATTTACATTTGTGGTTGCTGAAATAAAATTCAGAGAGATTGTATCTTTTGGAACTTTTTACGTTTTTCTTTTGTTTGCTCTCAGGAAAGTTTCACTATTTTCTTTTAAAAGTTATTGTTCATAATAATTTCTGTGACAGTGAATATTACACGAAACTGTCTTAGTTTGGAACATTTCAGTCAGTGTAACATTGGATGTTTTTTAATTTGTTTCTTTTTGTAAATCAGTTTTTAAATTGTAAAATACTGTTCTTTCAAAACAAATCAGTAAATTTCACTTGCAAGAATATTTTTATAAAACAAACAAAATTGTCTGCCTTTAACAGTGAATGGTTTCATAGAGGTTTCCTTTTTTTTTAACTCCTTACAATTACATCGCATAATAAGAAATAGAATTTAAAATAATAAATTTGGGAATGAATGAATTTTGTGAGCCTGGTATGCGAATTTGCAAGATGATAAATTTGATATTGAAATAGAATTATATTATTACTTGATATATTTTTTCTTTGTGAAATGAGTTAGGTATTTTTTAGAAAAGGTTGTAATTTAAAATTGAGCAGCTTTTTTGTAGTGAGCATTGCAATTTTTGATACAGTATTTGAGAAAGATTTGTTTGGCTTCATTCTATTTGGCTGAGATTCTCACGAAAAGTTTCAGGTTTCCTATTGGAAGCTTCTGGTCGCACTGGTGCATGATTCGTGTATTTTACTTTTCATACCTTCTTCGGTTACATGGTTGCCCAAAGAAGGCTAGACTCTTTTCCAAGAAAAATCATTAGAATTCTATATAATGCGTAGGCGTTATACAGTTTTAAATTACTACTAGCCACTGATTGGACGAGCCTGTAGTGGGGCTGTACCCCTATTATTTATTTTGTGAAGAATAAAAATTCCTGACGTCGGACAAGAGAGGAATTAAAACAGTTCCACAAGCCTACTTTTGTATAAATTTTTAAGCATAGAAATTTACCACATAAAATTTATATTGAAATTATTTCAAAAACAGCAATATTTGCTGAAATATATCTATGTTTCAAAATTAATTAAAGAAAGAATTCTAAAGAACTACATCCAAACAGAACCCCAACACACAGGAACAGGTCCTAAAAGAATTCCGTGACGTATTTGATCGGATAGGATACCTACCAGGGGAATATACTATAAACATAGACCCCAAAATCACCAGTTGTCCACCCACCATGTAGAGTCCCAGTATCACTGAGGGACAAATTCAAAGCTGAACTGGACTTTCTTGCAAAGCCCATCACAAAACCCACCTCACATCTTTGCTCGTCGTCTTGTCTCTAGGTCATAAGGGAACCGCGGAAAACGAAACAGAGCTGATAGCAAAATTCTGCAAGGCAACACCATTATTTTCCTTTTCACTGGATTTATTACTTTTAGCATTTTTTTCATATACACAGAAGGGCCTCTTATTTTTCATCGGTGTGCGGATGGCTTCATTAAATTCTCAAATACTTCCCTTGATATGTCCATTCAGTTTTGCTTATGGCCAGCATTGCTGGTCCTTTGCAGTAGGCTAAAACACATCCTTTTACCTCGGTGGTCTTCAAGCCTCTCTTTTTGCACCTCAAATCCATTTGGTACCTAAATTTAGGTCTTACCCATTATTGTCAGATAAATGGACTCATCTCTCTTGATCAGGGATCTTATCAACGAAGGGGAGATAACCTATATTTTTTATACTACTGCGAGTACTATGTTTCATGTTTTATTGTTGTTTTGCATTGTTACAATTAATAAAAATGGTAAACATTTTGGCACACTTCTTTTCATTTCTCTTAGTATCTCATCTTTATATGTTTTGGCTGCTTCTTGAGGTCATAGCCGTTACAAAATAACAACCCACCAGGATCAAAATAACAATAACAGGTTTGTTGTTACTATTTATGAATCTATTAAAAATAGTATCAACAATTTATTATTTTTTTGTCATAAAAACAATTTAACCAGGGTACATGAAAGAGTTCACACAAGGTGTAGGTCAGGGTGTCTAGTTGTAAGCTGAAGAACCGGATATTCTTTTATTTTGAGATAAGCTTTCTGCTTTTTGTAAAAGCCGACTGACAAACAATGTACTTAACTTATGAAAGACAGCTAGCAGGAAGTAATTGTTGATTTTGAATCCTGTTTTTAGTTTTTATATTAGTTGGGAGGATCACAGGTCCAGCTCGTCGATGCAGAAAACGCTGATTAGAATTTTTTTTTCTTCTGTACTAACTTTTTTTTTTCTTGTGGTCAACCGTGGTAGCACAAAAAAAATTAACCCCTTAGATTCGTCTAAAGAAACTACTTATTTGACAAATAAATACACTAAGTATCTTTCTATTTTAACTGAAAGAATATAATCATTTTAATTATCGCATTTATGAAATCTAAATCCTCTACTTGAAACAATTGCCTTAAAAACACGTGCGCAAATTTGTCTTCAGAAGTTGTGAAATAATGGATCAGACTACGCATGCGTTCATCACTCAAGTTTAATTGGCGTCTTTCAAATCCATTATTACCTCCCTTGAATAATTGTTTGTTTTTTTTTTTATTATTTTGGTGTGTTTTTCTTTCTTTCCCGGAGCCTGACACAATGGTGGAAGGAAATATTGACCGGTTGTGCCGACCGGAGAAAGCAATTGATATGCCTAACAAATGTAACTTATAAAAACAACGTAAAATTTGAAAGAACAAAGGTTGGCGAATGCGTTTTTACCGGATGATAACATGGAAGATTCAGGTAGAGAGGGAATGTTTGTTATGCGTAGACAGGCACGTTTCTTTTTTTATACAAAAATAATAAAAAAAAAATGGAGAAAGATGCTGTCTTTTTCAACTTGAAAAAGACAGCATCTCTCTATTTCGATTAATTGTTTATCGCTTAATCAGTTAGTTTTTTAAATTTAAGACAGTTTATTTTAACAATTGTATTTATTTTTAGAAGTCCACGAGTTACAGCAAGCGTGAATCAAGAAGTGATTAAAAATAAATTATAATAAAAATAGGAGATCTACAATTACTACATTGAAGAATTATTTCCAAGTTAAAGAGGAGGCAAGAAATTTTAAAAATAAATAAAAATGGACCAAACAACTTAAACAGGCGTCATGTACCTCTAATGATAATATGCAACTTTTTTATTCTTTTTGACAGCACTTAAATATTTTACTTATTTTTACCTTGAATAACAAAGATAAAAACTAAAATCAACTAGTTCCAAATTCAGACTTTGTCCAATTTTAGATAAAGCATTTTAAATGCTTGTTATCATTCCTTTTTTGTTGTTGAAAGATAAACCTGTAAAAAAAATATTGATTAATTAATAAATAATCTTTTTTTTTTCTTTTTTTTTTTACTTCACAAAAAATAAATGAATATTGACAGATTTAATTTGTTTTGGAAACTTTGGAGAAACAATTTTTGGGGAGTAGAATTATTTGCTTTCAGCCAAAAAAACCCATCAGTAATGATTGAAACTAAATAGTTAATATCTATTTTCTGATATTTTTATACCCTAATGAACACAATTTTATATCAGAGTTTTTTTCATTGGAACTATCAGATAGCTGAATTTTTTTTTTCAGTTTTTCTATTTTTATAATTTTAAAATTCAGCACTTAAATATTTTACTTATTTTTACCTTGAATAGCAAAAATAAAAACTTAAAATCAACTAGTTCCAAATTCAGACTTTGTCCAATTTTAGATAAAGCATTTTAAATGCTTGTCATCATTCCTTTTTTGTTGTTGAAAGATAAACCTGTAAAAAAAAATATTGATTAATTAATAAATAATCTTTATTTATTTTTTTTTTTACTTCACAAAAAATAAATGCATATTTACAGATTTAATTCGTTTTGGAAACTTTGGAGAAACAATTTTTGGGGAGTAGAATTATTTGCTTTCAGCCAAAACCCATCAGTATTTAATGATTGAAACTAAATAGTAAATATTTTCTGATATTTTTATACCCTAATGAACACAATTTTATATCAGAGTTTTTTTCATTGGAACTATCAGATAGCTGAATTTTTTTTTCAGTTTTTCTATTTTTATAATTTTAAAATTCAGAATCTTTGGATTTTGTGCTAAAATAAAACGAAAAAAAGGAGGTTACTTTGGAAAGAGAATTATTTCTATCTGACATAAAAACAAAAAATTTGAAAAAATCCATTGTAACCCTTTTTAGGTTTTAAAAACATGGTTTTTAAATATTTTTTCTAGTGGAATGTTTCTAGAAACATACTCTCACAATGTGATATATAAAAAAAAATAAAATCAGTTTTTAACTTAGATGCAATTATACATTAAAGAAAATTCTTTGAAAGTTTGATCATGTGCCTTTACTGTTCAAACGATATAATAATTCCTGACAAAATGAGTTAAAGTCAGTTATCTTCAGTGATTAACTAACAATCTGAATACATTTACATTGTGTACAGAAAAATATAATTTCCACAACAAAATTCTATCAACAGAATTGTGATAGAATTTGAATCTTGCATTCGTGCCTAAAATAGTGTAGGAAATTGCAACATAAAAAAATAACAAAATGAAATAAATTTCTCTTGTAAAATGTGTAAATACATAAAAAAAAATGTTTCTTTTTTTAAGGTTTGTATATTAACCACGTTTGAATTTATTTTTAGTTTGTCATTTTACTTTCTAATGCTAGAAAACTGCAACTTATACAGGTTGCAACGGAAATAAAGGTAAGACATTATTAGCAATGGTGTCTTCATCTAGCTAATGTCTTATCATTATGGTGATTTTCTAAATGTAGCTTAGATGTGGCACAAGGTCAAAAGTATGTGGCACCTAGTGAGGATTGAACACACTATTCAGTCATAAATTGATCTAGCGAAACAAGCTTTCTAATCTTTATAACACATGAAGTGCCCATGTCTTACCATTATGCTGCACCATATATTTATTTTTAATAAGTGTATAGAAATTTCTATTTAAAAAAATCACGGTTTTGTTTTGAACAAAGGGTGCTGGGAACTTTTGCACACTTAGTACATTCGATTAAGCAATATAAGATACTTAATCTCAAGACAGACACTATCCCACTAGAGTAGAAAGTTTTGTTTATAATGCTTCAAGATGTATCATATGTATTTCTATACAAATGTGAAAATGTAGCAGAATTGTTTTTTATCAATACTTACTTCTCTTAGTCAATTCCTTTCCAGACCTAGACGTACAACTTAATTAAGATTATTAAAAAATTGTTTTTTTTTTTATAATCAGACAAAATACAATTACAATACATTTTATTAAACATTCACTGAACTTTTCTTTTCTTATTTTTTTAAATTTTTACTTTAAATTGGCAGATGAGTTGTGTCCATCTGATGGTTTGAAGCTATCCGTCCCTTTTTATCCACAGAGATACAGTTGGGACTGTGGCCTAGCTTGTTCCTGTATGGTTTTGCGGTAAGTTATACTAAAACTGTTAGTGTATTTGAATTCCTATTTTTTCAAATTTTTTTTTTCAATAATGTTCATCTTGCATGAGGTTCAAGAGCCACTCGAGGTAAAGGTTTACAGAGTAAGAGGTACAGTTTATGGGGATATATGCAGAAGATAACAAGTAACCCTAGACTTGAACAGGTTAAGATTGTAGTGATTGGGGAAACATACTCTTGGGAGTTGGTTTTTCTAATTCAGATTTAGGATCAAATGGTGTCTTACCCAAAAACCACTTTTTATTGAAGTTGCACAATGTTTGAATATTTCAAGAACTGATTGCATGGCTTTAATATAACTTGGTAACCAATCAAAAATGACCTTACTGTACATGCATGAACAGACACTCCTTATGGTCTTAATTAGTCAGTATTGAATGAAGTTGTGTACTGTGTGGCCATCACATTCTCAATGACTGAATAAGTAGTTTCTTTACATGCAGGTTTTTTTTTTTTTTTACAAAAGCTTGCACATTGCATGTCTGTCAGCCCGATTACCATACAGATCTAACTTCCTATGATTTCTGGCTTCCCTTAAATCACAGTTAAAATACTGTAGGCAAAATTAAGGAGAATGCAATAATGTTGCTGACTGTGATCTAAAAAAGGACTTTATAGTTTTAAAATGATCATGGGAAAAGTGTTTGTAGGGAATATTGCATCAGTGGGGACTCAAGTGCCATTATCTAAGGCTAATTTTTTTATTAATATTAAAATATTCAGATATTTTCTGAACATGCCTCATTTGTTCATGTATATACACCTACTCTTTCACAAATTATTACAAAGAGAGAATACACATAGGAGTGGAAACAGTTTTATAAGAATTTGAAAATGATAGTAAAGGATGATAACCCATTACCATTTAAAGATCAACCTTGAACTTGAAACGCTTACTAATGCAAGGATCTGATTGGCTAATTACTGTCCAATCGTGACTCCTTCTTGGGGCCATGCAGTAAATTCGATCTTCCTCTTTTGTTAAATAATAACCTCAGTGACCACATGTTTATTGAAACCGTTAATGGAGTCCAGAAGCCATAAGTCTGCAAATCCCACTTGTTCCTTGGACACAACTCTAACAGTTAAGTCTGCAAATATACATTATATTTGCAAGCCTTTTGCCGATTTGTGCATACACTCCTTTGTACATTAAACCTTCAAATTTAATACTGTCATTGAATTGCTTCTCTTCTTCAAGTGTGTCCATCTTTGACTTTGTGGAATTTAACTGTGCCCAAGGAAAACCTTTATAGTTTCTCTCTCCAACAAATAAGATCCTTTTGGTGACACAATTGGAGATATGGTGGTCATATATGTGGAAGTCGGATTGGAGGCATGCATGCAATAATCTTGCTGCAAGTAAACAATTCCCAGTGGTCTGTGTTGACACTCCTGCATATCACCTTTTCTCCAATCTTTGTTGTGCGGTCTTAAAATGTCTCGATCTTTGCAAACGTATGTACTAAATGGCCTACTGTTGCAGAAATATCCATTTGACCATTGTTACCAACTTTGAAGCTCTATTGGCATTTAACATGCACAGCACATTTTTTGAAATGACTATCCCACCTCTTAAGACCCATAATCTGACCACCTTTCGAATGCCTAAGTGAATAAAAGAAGTATATGTGCATTTCTCTGCCATGGCATCCAATAATACTGGACTCTTTTACCACACTGAACCTTGCAGCAAAGAAAGGTGACATCATCTAAAGCTCATACGCAAATAGTGCACTGGTATATAGTGTTACTATGTTCAAGATAAGAAAAGACTTTGAAAATTTCTATAACTTCCATCTAGCATGCACATGTCAAGATTGACATCATCCTTCAAGGTTTACAATTTTATTTTCTATCACACATATAGAATAAACTTCTTTATAATTTTTTTTTAACAATTGAAAGAATATCTAGTTTCTGTTAAATTTTTTTTACAATTTTCAATTTGTGTTAAGACTCTTTTAAGCTAAGATGAAGATTTTTTAAAAGAAAATGAATTTTGCAAATCAGGCTGAATATGTTAACTGAACCTTAAACAAATTTAACTTCTTTTCTACTTATAAAGTTTCTATACAAATTCATTTTGGTTACAAGTGTCTAATAGGTGAAGATAATTTTCTCAAAATCCCCATGGAAAAAATATTAAAAGCTTCCATAATTTAAAATAGTTAAGTTTAGATTTGGAATCTTATTTTGTTTCAACAAATAAGGTTGAAAATTATTTTGTACTCTGTACAATAGACATAAAATTTGAGTGATTAATATAGGATTTCTTTGTTTGCCAAATTCATTTTTTTACTTTTAATTTTGACATAATCTTAGTAAATATTAAAGAAATTCTGTTGTTTTTGTATTGCAGGTTCTTGGATAAGAACTGTAATACAGTCTACTCCAGTGATCTGAAATGGCTGCAGTGTAAAGAAAGGTGAGAGTTCAAACTGCATTTTATTTGTAGTTTTTTTTTATACCAATCAATCCTTTTTTTTATTAATTGGATATATGTCAGCATTAAATAAGGTTAATTTGTACAATCAGACTTAGTACAGCTTTGAACATTTTTGGCTCACCTTTGGGTAAGAAACAGCATCTGTTAATATTTTTAGCATATTAAGATTGATTTGAAAATCTTTTCAAAAGTGGCCTGTAACAACGTAAGCTTTATCATTATTCAAATGAAAATGACAAAAACTTTGTATTAGCTGGTAAACATGTTTTGAAAATTTTTTATTATCATGAGGATTTTAAAATTTATTTCTTATGGTACACATACACACACACACACACACACACACACCCACACAATGTCCAATTTAGCTAGAAAATAACATTTCAGATTAAGAGATTAAAATAGCCTTGAATGATTGCTTGAAAACTTGGAATCTACTTAATAATTTTGCTGCTGAGGATGTACTTATAAATACGTTTTTGCAAAAGTTACATTACCTGCTGTCAGCATGTGTGTGTATATATATATATATATATATATATATATAAAATAAAAACAAAAAGCGTTGATGGAACCAATGAACAATTTGCCAAAACCTAAACCTCTTATCCAGATATGGTCTCAAATAAAAATGACAATACTGAAAAAAGAAAATGAAAAAAGGTGTAAAGGCAAACTTACCTACTCAGTAAAGTGCTCGAAGCCTGAATTGCCTAGACCAAGTATAAAATGCTTAGCAACATTAAATTCTGTGAAAGGATGAAGGATGGCTCTAGTCATAAGTTGTATGAGCATGCATGTGTGTGCGTGTATGTATATATATATATATATATATATATAATGATAAGAAGAAGACAGAGACTTTCATTATCCATTTTGTTTGTAATTTTTATTTCATGAACATATATATATATATATATATATATATATATTATGAAATGGACAAAGTCTGAAAATTATTTTAAGACATTTTTATCTTTATACATTCTTTTTATAGATACAAATATTTAAATAAATGCTCTGTTTATAATAAACAGTATTAAACAACATTTACCGGCCTGAATGCTTGAGAAATTTTCATAGAAAATATTCATCCTCCGACAGGAATTGAACTTGTATCCTATATGGAACCATCAATATAGCCTGACGTACCTTAACCGATTGAGCGACAGAGGATCGTTCAGTTAGCAAGGTCGATTTTACTGCTTTTAAACTACAATCTTCCATAATGTGATGTCATTTGTTTACATTTGGATACGTGTTGAGCAGATATGAATGTACATGAGAGATATTAGTGTAACATCATAGAGAATAAAGGAAAATATTTTGACAATAAGCATAAAAGGCTGCTGAAAATTTCTCAGCCAAACTATGAAGCCCTGCAGTTTGGTTGTTTGATCAGATTTTGTGAAGTGGTTTGGACTGAGAACTTTTCAGCACCTCTTCACATACACATTAATTATTATTAATTAATTTTAACAAAAGGTACTGAAAATTTTTGCACAACTAATAAAATCTGATGATGCCTTAAAATTTCTTTCACTGCCATGTTTTTTTTTTCTCAGTTTGAAATTAAAAGAAATGAAGGTTTTGCAGTGTTGACAATGTCTTAACAGCAGATAATTATACACTGATTTATTTAGACTGACATTGTCAGTTCTCATGCAAATGGATTTATTCTTCTAAGTCAGATAAATTAACTGCATTGAAATTAATTAGCTTGCACTCAGAGGCTGGTTTTGCATCATGTAAATTAGTTTGATAATTTTGGTCAATATATTTATTGGGGTCAAAGTGTATGACAACTATGTGCATTTTATTAGATAAAAACTTATTTTACATATTTTATTCAGTAGTTCTTTATTAAAAAAAAAGAAAAAGGTGTGTTCTTTTTTCAGCCCCCAAAAATATACCTGATGCTTACCTTTCACCTGTATTTGTTCCTTTACATTGTTTTTGTTATTTCTTGTTTTCCCTGATTTGATGAGCTTTTCGAAACCCATATCAATTCATTAACAGATCATCTTTTTATATCAGCATCCATGTGTTTCCTGTAGAGTATTCACTTTTCATAGAGAAAAAGTGAACTTGAACAACAGTCATGAGAAATTCTTTTGTGTCCAGAATAACTTTAGACAGAATTTTGTTTCATTTACTCGTAAAATTATGATTTTTGAATCAAGTTACAATTATTGTGTCTTTATCTTGATAGCTAAAAGATTATCTTAAAAGTAAATTCGATTTTTACTTTCCATAAAGCAAGAAATCTATCAAAGGATTTTAAATTGTTATTCTGAAATGTTATAATCTTGTCAACTTGCTGTATTTTATTCTCTTCACTCCAGACTATTTACATATTGTGCTGGAGAATTAACTCAGAGGGCAAGAGTGGCATAGCCTAAATTTGCACATAAGACAAACAAATTGTGAGCAAGGTGAACCGTACATGCATTGGTGCTGGAATGACGCAGTGCATGCATCACAGAGCCAGATTGAAGCTGGCAGTGTGCACAAGATGCTAATATTCTGACTTGGGAAAAACGCATAAAAGAGGCGAGTGTTCATTGAGAGGGCAGTAAGCATCTGTGCTCAGGGCAGCACAGAGCAGTGTGTTACATTGTGTAATAAACGAGAGTCCCTTGTGAATGTTATTCCAGTTTCAGTGCTACAGAAAAAACAGTTTCCTGCTACACATATAAAGTTAAGCTAGGCACAAGTATTAGTAGTGTAAAGTATCTGGGAAAACATTAACCAACCAGATTTCATGACTTCATTTATATATATGAAGTCTTTGTATTTTTAAAAGTCACAAATGTTTCTAAGGAAACAAGTCAAGAACAACTTTGCTAATCAATTGATTATAAGGTTTTAGAATTTCATGAGAAAAAGAAAAGAAGAAACAGAAATAAAAGAAGTTAAATTCTTTGAGTGGAATTCAGCCGACTGACAAGATCAATTTTTTCCACCCATTGTTTCATTTTAGTGTATAATTTGTTTTATAAATTAAGAATGTGTAATATCAGTTTCATGAAAATATTTTTCTTTCTTTTACTCCAGTTCTTGTTTAACAAATATCCTCTATCCAGTTTAAAATGAGATAACTTGTGCAATAAGTGAATAAAAAGGTGGGAGTAGACATTTTATGGTAAATTTCACAATTGGAAGGAATCTATTATTGAAACTTTCTATGCCTTTCCCATTTCTTAAAAAAAAAAAAAAAAAAAAAAAAGACTAACTCATTACTTTACACTCTTTGGTAAATAAAAAATAAAAGAAATCTTTGAAATATAAGGCAAGCATCAATGAATTTAATTCATCAAGCAAAAATGCTGTTGTATCAAAACATGTATGTATATTTATATGGATAAAAAATTTTGTTCTGCTTTGTCACAGTCATAAAGCCTCCATATTTAGCTCAGAAGTAGCTGAAATTGTAAACCTAATTGTTGGCACTGATCAAACAAAATTAGTACTGTTGGACATAAGAAGTTGACTCATTCTTGCTTGAGAATGAAACAGGATGCCCAAATATTTTGGGTTCAGGCCAAAATTCAAAAGTTATTTTATAAACAAGTTAATTCTTGTTCTCAAAAAGAATAAAAAACAAACTTCTATATTTGTAATAATAAATAATAATATGAAATTAGATGTAAAGATGTAATGCTAGCAAATATGTTTTTAATATCATTTCTTTGTTGCCATCATTATTATTATTCTGCTTAATTTGAACTGTTGAATTGTTGATTACTTTTAAAGCAAAAATATTATCATTTCTTTTCCGGTGATCAATATTTTTCACATATTAAACTAGAAGAGAATTTTTAAAGAAATGAAAAAAAATTCTCTTCAAGTTTAATTTTTTAAAATATTTCAACAGGCATTACTATTTGTTCAGAGATATTGTATACAAAGTGTTATGCTCAAGGGGTGGGGACTTAGTTTATGAACTTTTGATGCTAAATTTCACACTTGGAAAGAATCTATTATTGAATTTTTCTTTCAATGCCTTTCACATTTCTTAAATAAATAAAAAAATAAAGCAAACATTTTCTCCTTATTTTACTCACTTTTCTGGCTTGTTCAATGGAGGCTCCTGTTACCTTTACACTAAACCTAAATTCCACTGCTTCCTTCAAAGTAGTCCTGTTATTTGCATATATGGATTGAACATGTGAGCATCAATGAAGTTTTAGAGAAAATGGAAGAAAAAAGGAAACTTATACTTAATATCAGAAAGAGACAGTTGAAATTTCTAAGGCACCTAATAAGGAAGGAGGGCTTGGAGAATTTGATACTCACAGGACAGATTGAAGGTTAGTGGGACAGGAAAACAATGCATAACCTACCTTGCAATCTTGAGTAGGTGGATGGCAGAATAGGGTTTAAAAGAGACAACAAAAAGACATTTATTAAGAGCTACAAAGGACAGGAAATTTTGGAGAGCCATGATTGCCTGTCCTGAAGAAGAAGAAATGTGCATTGCATGTGCTATTAAAATTCCCCAAATTCTTGGGTGTCACTTCATATAAATATAACTGATTAATACTTAAATTTAGAGACAGCTACCTAATAACATATAGCTCCACTCTTCATTGGAAGAATAATGGCTGCTGAATATCTCTTGGCAGATATTGTATAGATATATCTATCCAGGAATGTTCCATTGATTAATTCATTTTTTATGATTTATCAACACTTTGCAGGTTATTTAAAGCCAGAAAATATTTTTAGATTGTAAGAATGTTTTTTTAGATAATAATGATTTAGTGATACAACAAGTCTTAAAGAGGTGAGTTCATATCATTCCTAAGGGTATTCACATGTAAGTGATTATCACTGGTCAACACTAGATTTATTGTCTGAATTTTTTTAGCTGATTTAGGATAATTTTGATGTGCTGAATCCAAAAATCACATTTGTTTTGCTCAATCAGGTCAACTTTTTAAGCAAAGGTCACATGCTTTTTTTTTAGGTTTTTGTTTATGTTGTCATGCCCATTAAAATATCTAAATATGCAATATTTTATTCACACAATAAAACTAATTATCATGTTAATTATGATAACAAAATAATCTAGTTTGTGATCTCAGCTTGTCAAAGTCCTCCTCTGGCAAACTGTTGGCATCCAGATTGAAGGAAAAAAAAAACTCCTCTCTGACAGTGTTTGCATCATTTTCTACTGCATCAGGCATCAACCTTACCTCAGTTTTTTCTCTGAACAGCTTCTGTACAAAATTGGAGTGCCACAGTACGAACCCAAAGATTAGAGACTGTTCATTGACAGCAGCAAGCGATCTCTGAAAAGTGTTCTGGTGCACAATGGAAACCAATTTGCCTCAGTACTCTTCACTCACCCAACTACACTGAAGGAGAAATATGAAACAGTGAAGTATATGCTGGAGAAAATTCATTATAATCAGCAGGAGTGGTTTATTTGCGTTAACCTGAAGATAGTGAAGTTTATGTTGGGACAATAGTTCAGGTTCACCAAGTACCTATGCTTTCTGTGCATGTGGGATAGTAGGGATACTGCTTAGCATTACAAGAAAAAGGACCTGCATGTTCAGGAGAAATTGATGCCTTGCAGAGCAACGAATGTCATCAATAAACCTCTGGTAGACAGAGACAGGATACTTTACCCACTGCAGCACATCAAGTTCGGCTTGATCAAATAGTTCACCAAAGCTCTGGACAAAAATGGTAACTGCTTCACTTACTTGTGCCAGGCTTTTCCAGGATCAACAATGTAGATGTTGAAAGCTGGCATCTTTGATGGTCCTCAAATCCGTTAGCTCATCAGAGGTCCAGAATTTGAAAACTCAATGTATAGAAGCATTGAAGGATTTGCTCTGATCGTGATGAACTTTCTTGGCAACAACAAGGCCAGGAACTATGCAGAACTTGTCATCAATATGCTGACTGCTTTCAAAAACCTAGGATGCAACATGAGCATCAAAATGCATTATTTATTCTTAGATATGGATCGGTTTACTGAGAATCTGTGATCAATGAGTGATGAACAGGGGGAAAGATTCCATCAGGACATAAAAGAGATGGAAACCAGGTATCAGGGACACTGCGATTCAGTCATATTGACTGATTACTACTGTACTTTAAAGAGACACACCCTTTCTGCTGATCATTCTAAGGGTTTGAATATACAGAATTTCAAGCCCTGAATTTTGAACAATGATAACGTAACATGCAATTTATATCTACTTAAATTTATCAATGTATATTATTCAATTTATTGTAATCAATCTTTGTAACATTTAATTAATAAATTGTGTTAGAAATCATTTTTTCCCTTAAAAGCTTATTTTGTTTGAGAAATATTAACAAAATTCAATTGATAATGTCACAAAAATGCAATTGATTTAATCAGAAGGTTGAATTTTTAAAAACTCAACTTAGAACAAAAACATGATCTGATCAAGGGAAATGGATGTCATTTTTGGATTCAGTGGTGAAAATTTGTCCCAAATCATTTGGAAAAACATAGACAACTTTAAAAAAATCTTTTTTTGTTATCCAGTGTAATGAACCCAAGGGGCATTGGAACTCGGCACGGCACTCTGATCAACAATTCTGAACTATTATCCATTACATCACCCACACATCCAAGCTTACAACACCTGTTATTCTCAAGCAGTCACCCATCCATGTACTCACTAGGCTCAATGTTGCTTAACTTGGATGATCATACAGGAACCCATGTTTCAATGTGATGCAGTCAGGAATGTTCAAGTGTTTTTCATAACTGATTTGTATTTATTGGATGCAACTGCAGGAAATTTAGTGAGATCCTTCGAGTTCTTTTCTATAAGTGGGGGAGGAGAAAAAACATCCAGTATACTGTTGTCTCTAATTTTTGGCACTTCAAGACACACATGCACATGTAACAACCTGTGAATATTAAATAAAAGAATAATCAACAAAATAAAGCAAATCATTTATAAATTATTGTAACATGATGAGAGTATATTGAGTTCCTTCAGAGATTAGAATGAGGAGAATGATTAGGAAATGTTAGAAAAGTAGGATAGGTTTGAAAGTTTCTAGTGGAACCAATCCAAATAGATTTTAATGATAGCAACAAAGTTATTGAATCTCTTCTCAGTTTTTATTTTATTTTCACAAAATATCTTAATATTTCATCACTTCCTGTAAACTCTTATATAAGTAGTACATGCTCTAGTTTTATTAGAGAGACCTGAAAGCTTTTGGTCTTTATGACTCCATGTGTTAAATTGATTGTTTTGTCAAATACCGCTCCCTCCCAATACTCTGTTTCAGTGAAGTGAATAAAAACCAATTGAATATACCAGCTGAAATAAATGTGTTATTAAGCTTTTAAACTCTATCTATCTTGTCATCCCCTACCTAACTATATGATCTGATTGGGAATTTTCAATAATATCTTAACCACCAGATGGAATTAAAAAAATATAGAATTACATTTGGTACTTGTAGATAATGGATTTGCTTGGATAAATTGAGTTTTTTTTTAATTTTTTTTATAATATATGTGGGGAGGAAAAAAAAAAGAGAAATTAAAAAAAAAATTACAAATGTAAATATAATATTCAGTGCTTCTTTTATTTCTGGGGCTAGCAAGGTTATCCCCATCTCTTCAATAACCAAAAATTTAAGTAGGCACAAGTATTAGTAGTCTAAAGTATTTGGGTAAACATTAACCAACCAGATTCCTTGGCTTCATTTTATATATATGAAGAATTTTGCATTTTTAAAAGTCACAAATGTTTCTAAGCAAACAAGTCAAGAACAACTTTGCCAATCCTTTGCTAAAGATTTCAGTTTTTTTTTTAAAATTGTCCTGTTTCATACTAACCCCAAATCAGATTTGGATTTTGTAGCTGCAATAAGTGTGAATTATCACAGACCAGTAGTCCAAATGTAAATAATGATAACTCTTCATTCCAGAAATTCAGACTGAAACTATAAGATTTTCTCAAATTAGTATTACTTGTTTGTAGCGTGTGGACAATCCATTTGGCTCTGTTGATGAAGCTGCATGATGTACGACATCACTTTTGCACCATAACTTTAGGAGTGGACAAAAATTATGCCAAGCAGGTAGGTTTTCATTTTTTTTTTTTCATAATTGTAGTTTGCTGTATTTATCCTTATATTTCAGTTGATGTCATTAACATTTTACTTACGACATTAATACCCATTTGTGCATACACAGAATCAGAGAAGATAAGGAAAAAAATATAAGACAAGGAAAATAATAAAATAATGAGAGCTTTAAATTTCATATGATTTTTTAAATAAATTTACATAGTGAAAAAAATATTTTTAAATACCTGCAAATTATCTATAAAAGTATTTAATTTTCAAGATGTTATGTACAACTATTTCTCTCTCTCTCTCTCTCTCTATATATATATATATATATGTATGTATGTAACCAGAACATATGCACATACACATGTAAAGAGAAAAAAATCAACCTAACACCAAAAACTAGTGCATAAATTAATTCCTAACTTAATATAAAAATAACAAAAATGGGAAAATCCAGTCAGTTGCTGTAACTTCCAGACAAGTTGATTGAATGATGATAAAAAGGTTTGTTTACGAAACTCCAGAGTCAATGTGCTGAATATAACATCAATCGGCTAAGTGATGAATTTTATTTGTATTTTATTTAATAACCCTAAGTAACACATGCATTAATTCTTGGCCACTGCTAATCTGTTTTTCCCTGATTTTCAATACATAACATTGCAGATTGAATATTGTTATCTTGACAAATTTCATTTTTGGTTGTTAACTCAAACTATTTTTAGACACAAATGTCACTAATGTCATATGCCTAGACATGAGCTTCACCTACAGCAACACCAATATTCACCAAGAGTAAACTGTTCTAAATTCTTCTGTCATAAGTTTGTTTGATTCACTAAGTATATTTCTGAAGTTTATATTTAGCATTAAGTTTTCTTGCAGAAGTGAGATAAGAATAAAACTAGGACCATTTCTAATATATGTAAATATTCATATCTATTTACTTCCTGTATATGAATTTACTATTTATTATGTTACTATATATGTAAGTAAAAGAATGAATGAAAGTAATATGATAGGTTCAATAGGGCAGTCAAAATAGTAAGGAATTGACAAACTTCAAGACATCTGCTCTAAAAATAAAGGGTTAAGGAAAAAGAGTAGATCATTTGAAAATTAATTGGTAACCAATTGCTTAAAATGTAAACATATTTTAAACTTTTTATCAGAATTCGAACTTTTATCATTTATAAAATAACGTAATGCAACTCTTGGCATTATGACTGAAAAAAAATACATGAAGACTTATTGACTGAAAATGAGGCTTACACTTGTATCATGTTGAAATACTGATTTCTGTACAATTACTGAAGTTAAGCAATAATGAATTTGGTAAGTACCTAGATAGGTAATCATTTGGGAGTATCAGGTATTCAAAACTTGGATGTGCAGGTGGTATAAATGGATAATGGATCAGAGTTGTTAATTTGAGAGCCAAGTTCCAATTCCCATTGGATTTATTATATTCACTTGCATGCAAATACCATTGGAAAATGTATGAATTCACCTCTTCTCCTCCCAGCTATGGGTTAATTAGTAAGATTTGTAACATTAAAAAATTATTATATCCAGAAAAAATATTTTCTGGCTTTAAATAACTTACAAAGTGTTGATAACCCATAAAAAACGAATCAGTCAATCAATCATTGTAATGATTTCTTACATGACAAATGCAATAATAATCACAATTATATTTTAGTGTTGATAAATATCTTACCATTGCCCACTTTGTTTATTTTTTAATTATTTCACCCCCAAGTAAGGCGATAATGCCACTAAGACACAAGGCATTACTAGGAGTGAAAGAGAGTGAGAAGACTAGTGAGGAAAAGGACAATAAAGGGACAGGATTCAGAAAGACAGAAGATGGTGATTGACATAGCATTTAAATGTTTGGAGATTCTAGGTGGCAGTGAAGCAAGAAATCAGAAGGGAGTTCCACAAGGGAGAAGTGTGAGAAAAGAAAGTATTAGAATAGAACAGACGGTTACATATAGCTAGTTCAACAGTAAAACAGTAAGGCCTAGTTGCTAATCACACACTTAAATTCATGCAGTCAAGGAACCAAGGAGCAAAGCTCATCACTTACTGCTACCCATTTATTTATCTTTAGTCATTTGTTTCAGTTAAGAAAATTAGCTTTGGTGAAAGTGGTGGGAAGAGACTATGATGATTGAGTACGAAATTTTATAATTTTTTGTTCTTGTTAATCTTAGCACTGTATAATGTGCATAGAAAATCAGGAAGAACTACCTTGTTGGTGGTCAGGAATTTATGTAATCATCACAAACAGAAAATAAGTTTGATTGACATGCTAAAAGCTATGCAACTAATCTAATTTCTATTGGAAAAATACAGGAGTGTGACAAAGATGGGTTTTCCTATCACATTTATTTAACTTGTACAACAAAATGATTCTAAACAGAAGACATAACAGTTTAGCAGATGACAATGTGTATTGACGGTAGTCTTGGTAAGAAAACTGAAAAGGATAAGGTAGTCAATGAAAGTATGAGGAAGGAAATCTCTTAGTTGCTCCATACATAATTGATATGTCCCAGAAGGAATTGAAGTAGCAAAGTGGTTTTGGACTACTGTAACCGGGTAGGACAATCTAGCAGGTAACCGTAATGGACTGGTCCTCGTCGTAGTGGTAGGCAATAGGCGTCATCCCTGTACCTCCACACCAGTCTGTATTTATGGCTAACACCAACCAATCACATTACTGTGAGGGGGAACCCAGGTGTATGCATATTCATTACATCAATAGTTATAAGCAAAAGGAACAACTTACCCAAAGTCTCAGTTACAATTATTTACACTATTTAAATTCAGACTATTGTACTCAATCTGGGTAACCTACAGGGAATTCCAAACTGAACCCTTTATTTAATGTACAGTTCTTGGTACTTCTCACTTATTACTTGCTCCATTTCTATTTGGACTGAGTGGAAACAGAGTGAGCAATAACTGACTAGTACTAAAGATAAGAACTAAACAAGATATTCTAAAGAAACATGGCATATAGATAATAAATACATTGAAAGTGGTTTACTATGGAAATGCATTGAAAATTAAGGAAAAAAGGTTTGTTAATGGTTAAGAATTAATGTAATGCATTACTGACAGAAAATGCCTATTGTATTATATAAATGTATTACAGTTGATTTTAATATAGAAGTGCATTGGAATTAGGCTGTTAGGAATTGTCAGTAAATAATGAAAGTGTTACTCATAGAAGAGTTATATGTGTAATGTAAATGAATCATTAATGGTTTACTATAGAAAAGCATTGAAAATCATGAACAAAGGATTGTTGGGAATGAATGCAAATATTACTGGCACAATAATGAATTAAATGATTAAGATAAATTTTAAGATTTAAGAAAGACAAATTAGTTTTGTCAGTATCTTTAGCTGGTTTTGTATTTTTAAAATTCATATATTGTGTAGCTCTTAGTAACATGATTATTTTGTTATTGTGTGGAAAAAAGTAAATAAAACCACATAAAGGAGATTGTCCCTTCTACTTGAGTTTGGTTATCATGAAAACTCTTCTTTCCTTCTTCAATTGAATATTATAAGACTTTTAAAATTGATTGAGAAATTTAATTTAAAACATTATTAGTGAGATTCCCTGATGTAATCGGTCCATCATATATAATGCCATCTTGTTGATACATACCATTTTGTTTTACCAAGTTTAACAGGATAATGCCAATATTATGTTGTTGGATAAAATGTAGTTTAATGGGGGGATAATTAATGTGATGATGTGTACGTACTCATTATGGTCTCAGGTTGGAAACATCAGTCATGCTTTTGTTCAAGGCCGGGAATGATTGGGAGACAGGTTTAAAAGGTTAATAATCAAAACAATCATTTATTACCATGTTTGTTCACACAAAAGGTCTGTGATTGGAGTATGTATGACAATCAGTTTCATTGTAAAACTTTCATGTATTGGCCATTTAAAAATAGTGATTAGACTTGAAATCATTTTATTTTTATCCAGTTATATTTGTACAACTCCATGGCAACAGGCAAACATGTCTCTGTCCATACAACAAAATTGGAATTGGCATTCCTTTACATAAGGAATTGTAAAAGTAAACAAGCATTTTTATCAAGGCCTCAGTTTGCAGATATAAAAACTGAATAAATTAAAATTCGTTTCACTAATCATCAGTGACTATCACACTTCATTTGATTGTAGCGCCTCTTAATGCACTTTGTGTATATTGTAGTGTCATAGTGGTGTATATTTTATCATTAATTCATTAGAATAGGATAAAACCAGTGCAGCAAATTTGTTTGCTTGTAAAATCTGTAATTATATTTTGATATAAATACAGAATTTTTTTCAAACCACTATTTAGTTGCAAATTATTCTTTCTGTATCATCTATTTTTAAAACCTTCTTTTTTCCTTTCTGACACATCTAATTAACTTTTTATTTGCAAATTTTGTTACTCCCATATGAGAGTGTTCTTTTACAAAATTTGTACAGGTAAAAGAAAAGACAGATATATTTTTTAAACTTTAAATAATTGATGAATAAAATCCTCATGATGAATAATGAAGAAATTTGCATTTGTAGCTGTTTTGGGAAAAGTGAGTTTATAAAAATAGCCTTTCAAGTCAGTTTTAGTGTTTATAAAATTTTTCTCCAAAATTTAAAAAACATTTTTTGAATTCATAATAATTGAGAATTTAGCATTTTATTTTTCTGGTGACCCTTGAATGACAAATGCTTTTTTAATAAATGTACAGACTAACAAATGAGCAATTTATTCCTTTCTAAAATATAAATATACAACACTACTAGACCACTTGTTTAAAATAGGGAAAAATTATTTTGGAAATAATTTTGTAGGGTAGCATTCTTTAAAGCTTCCTTAGGCCGCAATTTATCAGAATCAAAAAATATTGATTCATTTTATTGATTTATAAATGGGGTTCTGTTTATAATATTGCTACAGTGTCAAATCAGTTCCTGACTTTTACAGAGTTATTGGACTTACCTGCTTTATGTATGAAAACAGATTTGAGTAGGGTTACAATATGTACATGTAATTAAAATAGAAATTTGCATAAATTAATAAAAGTATATATCTATTTGTTCTTCATTTAAGATAAACAATTTTTAATCTTTCTCTATGTGCTTCTGAAAAAAACATGTAAAAAACTTTATAAAAGTGTTAAAAAAAATTAAAAAAGTTTTTTAAAAATTCAGAAAATTAAAAAATATCAATGATGTTACCACACTTTCAAACTCGAGATTTGTAAATAACACTTAGGTCCAATAACCAGAGACTAATTTTTACACAATACTGATTTTATAAACAGCCCCACCCACTTCTAAATCGATGAAAAAAAATGGATATTTTTTGATTCTGACAAGACATTGTCTGAGGAAGGTCTAAAGAATACTAATGTACAAAAATTATTTTCCAAAACATTTTTCCCTATTTTTGTTATGTAGTGCCAAATATTCAAATAAACCAGCCTTAAAATCATTACTAATTTTGATTTCCAACTGAAAGATTAGATAATTTTACTGCTTCTTTTTCAGAGTTATTATAAAGATCACTTCAGTGAAGATGAAAGACAAGTGAACCAATTGTTTGAGAATGCTGAAGAAAAGGGAATTTCATTGGAGAAAAGGTGAAGAATATGCTTTAAATTTTGTTCTTGTTGCTTTTATGAAGAACAATATTCAGTTATAATGCAGGAAAAAAAGCAAAAAAAAAAAACAATTCTCAATTTTATTCCTTATGATGAATTGATGAGGAGAATTTTTGTTCTTTTCCTTGTAAAGTCTTTTTATTATACAATGATTTAGTTGAACTGTTTTCCTAATCTCCATTGTTATAGTTAATGTTTTATCTATTATATCCTCTGACCTTTTTCAGGGACTTGTTACATTCACTAACAATGTTAGAATATTGAATCAAAAAGTCTTTATTCAAATCATGGGAGTAAAATTTTCAAATATTGTTGTATATGTTTGGGTATAATCTCACACAAGTTAGTTCTTAGAACTTCAGGAAAATGGCCCATTTGCATATAAGTATTAAATCGTGTAATTGGTCTGTGAAATCCATATGCTCTGGTTCAGTGGCATGAACAGAAGTGACATCACAAGGATAAATTGACTAAAAATTGACCCATACCAGTTATCTTCCCATAGTGAAGACAACAGAATAAGTCTTCCATCATAGTTTTGGTTTGGAATTCATGAAAAAAGATGGACTTGAAGAAGATTGGAGAATACAACAGCCAAAATTTGTGACTACATTAACCAAGATTCAGATAACAGTTTGGCTACATCATTGTATAATAATTTCTTGTTTCAAAACTTTGGTCAGAAATGAATTCTTTTTTCTGTTACTTTCAAATTCAAACTGCCTATTTATAGCAAATAAAAAAACATATACATTATTTACATTATTATAATGTAATGTCCTCATCTTTTTCGCCATATCTATCACGTTTCAGCCGTTGTACGCTCCAGCCTTCTTCAGGTGGTTGGAATGTCAAAAAAAAAAAACATATTTATCATATTTATTTATAATATAGTATTTTGTTCATAAAAATTTGATTTATAACAAAAATACAATTTTAAAATTTTATATTGCAATATTTAAAAATTATTTTTCGGACAATTTATATATAGATCGACATCAATTCTGTTTTAATTTCCAACCAGCAATCAAAAATCTTAAAATGATTATTTTGTAAAGTTGTTCTTTTACATCACTATTTCCCAGATCTGTTGAATTAGCTGAGATTCTTGAACATCTCCTTGAAGGAAACATTCTTATCTGCCTTATAGACTACAGTGTGTTGGCCTGCACAGGCTGCTTTAAAGAGAAAGAGGTAAGTGAAAGAGGACAACCATGCCAACAGTATTTCTAGCACAACTTTTGTGAAATAAGAAAACTTTCCTTGAAGATTAATGGTCACAAGATTTTTTTTAGCAGAGATTTTAGGGTACAACATGATTTAGTCTTTTATTTATAATTCGACTGGGAGTTGGCAACCCTTTTCACCTCTGTGAGACAGATAAATGTCATTAAAAAGCTTGAAATATACAAATTACGTCTTTCGATAGATGCCATTATTTTTTGCCTCAATAAATGCTGGATGCTAGGAAATCATTTTTGCATAATAAGAATGTCAAAGAACTCAATTTTTTTTTCAAGCAAAGCATTTTTTGAATGTATTAGACACTATCTTTAAAAGTTGCATGAATATGACACAGTGGATGTTGGTAAATTAAGTCTAATAAATAAAAACTTGTGAACAATCAATGTGAAATGATGCTTTTTGTTGCTTGAAAGTTTATTAATATTGTTGATGCCAAGAGTAAGATATTATTCAGATGGGCATCAATTTTTTTTTTCTCGAATGGTTATTTTTTTAAAATAGTTGCCATACAGATAAGTACCATGGAAGATAAGCATTGTTTTTGCACTTTGACCTCTTTAGAAAATATATTTGTCAAACACCAACACATGTTCAGAATTAAATTTCAATCTTAATGTAATGTTGCACTGCATTTGAAACTATTCCATTTGAAGATTTCCTGATGTAGTTTACATTTCCACATCAAATGAAAGAGCAAACAACTTCAACTGCTTTGCATACAAGGGAAAGATTTTCTAAAGCCTTGGATCCTTATTCACAAAAAATGCCTGGTTCTTGTACTTTACATTTTTCTTTGAAAATCAGAAAAATGTACGTAATTTCCCTTTTCAATTTCCTCTCAAAAGCTATCATAGGACCAAGCAACTTATATATCGGCCAAATTTTCTTCTTTCAATTTGTAAGTTTAAGTTATTTAAATGAATTCTTCACCAGAAATGGCAAGATTGCAAATCAATGAGGGCCAGAAAAAAGTGAAATGAGTTCATTTCTACTTTCAAGGAATATGTCACTTCTTCATACAATGCAAATACTTTCTGGAATCAACCCTCAACTAAGACAACATATGTTGCAGAAAGAAGCTAGGTCTGCATATTCTGTTTCCATATCCTACAAAAAACATGATAATGAGAATTGAATCCTGTGGACAGTGTAACAAAACACCATAATAATCTACTAGTATGGTCAAAGGGAAACATTCAAAAGGAACAATTATTTGTGAGCTGAAAAAGCATAGCATCCAAATATTTACTTGTGGGCCAGATCTGGAGTGATTGTCTACCCCTAGCTTAACTAATGAAGACCACCAAATTGTCATTAAATAATTGTATTAGGGTATCGGTATATAAACACTAGATTTTAAAATCAGCGTACATCACCAGAGATTACTTAAATCTCTAGCTAAAATCACGTTACTTTTTACTCCACAAACTCTTTACAAATATTGTTACAAACATTTTTCATTAATGTATATTTATGCATCCACACAATATATAAACAAATATTACTGTGATTCATTCTTTATATAAATAATACTTCCTTCTGTTGAAACTTATAGCAAAAGGTTTATAAATGAGTGATGTTAAAAGAAATCTTTAGAAGGAAAAGAATATCAAGACTTGAAATAACTACTTTTTGTTTTTCTTTGCCAGGGTTGTACATTGTTGAAATGTTTTGGAAATTGCATTAATTATTATCAAGGTAAGATCAGCTTAAAAGCAAAAACAAAAAACAAACAACTTTGCCATTATTATTTTCATTTTATTTGATGAAACATTTTCAATCATTCTGAGTTGTATTTACTTTCATCACAGTTTTTACTTAAGCTATCAATTTATGGCAATGATTATCGTGTGAAGAATCAGCAACCAAAGGTAGGTTCTTGGAGAGATTCAAGCTTTCATTGCAATCAAAAGCCATTCAAAATTAAGATAAGAGTACACACAAGTCAGAAATTAATAATGGTTGACAATGATTCATTTTAATGTAAAATAATAAAGATATTGCTGAAAATAGATGAAAAACAAATATGATGCCAAAAGAAGTGATGAAATGATTTATAGGTTAGATTTTCTCTTCTGTAAAGTTTCAACTCCTTGTAGATTGAAACCTATAGATTCAACATGAGTTTGAATCTTACTAAAAAGAGATTTTTTTTTTTTGCAAATCTTGGGGTGTATACATGCTGCTGTAGAGCATAATATACAGCTTGAATAAAAGAAAAAAGAAAAGTAAAAAATAAGGTGAAAGTTAATAATTATTATCATTAAACCATGTTTAAGTACATCTAGGATGTGGGGAGTATTTTCACTGTAGGGAGGATTACTTGTATAGAACTAATTGGAGATTTGGGTGAATAAATGGTTAGACTGTACACTCATCCTGAAAGAAATTGAGGTGATCCCTTTATAACATGAGTTTGGTATTGAACAGCAGACAGTTAAATGTTCAGACAATGAAAACAAAAGAAAAAAATACATTTCACTTTTTAAACCAGAACAAAAAGAAGACTTGCTGATTGGGCCAAGAACTTTTCAGCACCCCCTTGTATAACCAAGAAATGTCACTAATTATTTTTTGTGTTATGGTTTAATAACTTGAATATGTTTGCAGGTTTTAATCCTAAAATGAAATTTGAAATATTAAAAATTTCTTACATTCATTTCCAGAAAATTCTAAGGATTTAAAAAAAATTATGATTTATTGGTTATAATTTAAAAATAATTTATTTAGCATTAAAATGTAATCCGTGCAAAAGATAGATTGGAATAATTGTCTTATATACTATTTGCATACACCATTCCCTAGTAGGCTTTCTTTATACTAACTTTTACTTGTTTTTTTATTGCAGTTCTCAGGCTATTAAAAAATAAGGAATATGCCTCCTCTCAGGCTCCAACTTATATTCCTTTTCCCTTGAGAAGTTCTGGTCATTGAAATTTAACAACTAAAATATTAACAATTCTTCATACACTACTCTTTAATTTTGGAATATAATGTATTCTGAGATGAGCTGGAAGATCAGAATTAAGTTTTAATGTTTTTTTTTTTTTAATAAATTGTGGGAAATTTTTCACCGAAATATTGAGTGATGTAATTTAGCTAAAATTCAACTTTCAGTCAAGAGTAAGAGTAACCTCCCTTTGCTTAAACTGTTCCCGTTTACTTTAACATTTAAATTTACTCTCCTTCCAGGACACTTCATTGTCGTGTGTGGTTATAATAAAGTTAAGAAGTTGATATATTACATGAATCCGAATGATTCTCATGGTAAGTTCTCAGCTATAACAATTGTGCTATTGAATTTTCTTGAGGAGATGCAACTGGGCCAAGTTTTATTTAAAGTTTTTTTCTCTTCTTTTTCTTCCAGAAGAAATATGCAGCTGCAGCATGGAACTATTTGACATTGCAAGAAAACGATATGGAACTGATGAAGATTTGTTATTTATTTACAAAGACTGATATTCACATATGTTCTTGTTTCAATTTTCTATATTAAACATTATGACATTAAATAAGTTATTTATCCTTTTAACAAATGTCTCATTCAATTTGCATGAATTAAAACTCGTTTGAAGCTTTATTGAAAAAGAAAAGATGGAGATTTCGTTTTTTTTTTTAAAATGTATTGCCAGCACCTTGTGCAGAGAGTGAGAGACTATGAGAGTCTCTTGGCAGTTTGTGTCAGACTAGCTGCTCTCCTCAATGAATTCTCTTAGGTGCCTAATGGGGTGGGGGTGGGGGTGGATAGTGACTGTCATTTATTTATTTAATTTTTTTTTAATGAAATTTCCCTGCCCTGAGCTTATAAAATCACCCAGATTATTAATTTTGCACTTTTGACCTGTTAAATGATTTTTCAACCTTTTTTTATTTATTTATCAAGTGTTGCATACTGAGAACGTTTTAGGCATGAAGTAGTACACAAAAATACTGATTAAAATAACCAAGAAATATGCCAAAATAATCATTTTAACAAACAGTGACATTTTTTTTTAAAAGAAACTTTGAATCCTGTGTCTTATTTTTCAATACAAAGCAGTAATGGTAGCAAAAGCATAATGAAGAAAGCAACATTTTTATTTCCTGAGGTGTTAATGACAGTTGAATTTGTAACAGAATTTACATATGATGTATTTAAGACTCAAAACAAAAAAGATCTATTAACATTTAAAAAGAACACAAAATAATACATTATATTTTGTTTCTTTCAGTGTATGTATAATGGATGTGTACATACACAGAAAAAAATCATGTAAGCTAGCGCTAATCTTGAATCCTCTCCCCAAGCCAAATTTTACGAATGTAAATACAATATATTATCAATTTGTTACTAAAAATTCTATTATTAATAATATTGATTAAAAATTTTACAAAAAGTAAGTTACTGAATTTGTGTGGGAGAAAATATTTCCTTTCTCCACCTGAATGTAAATTATAATAGAAAATTGCATAGATAATTTGTTGTCCCAAAGAATAGAATTCATTTTATTATTACTCCAAAGGAAATCTGTTGTATGCAAATTATAAATATACTCAATATAAAGCCTATTTATGTACAAAGTAAATTTGGGGGAAAACTGTCAAATATGAAAAGGCAGCTCACTTTTGTAGAGCTAAAATATAATTAAAATTAAAAAAAAAAAAAAAAAAATTGTAACAGTCCCCAGTTCTGAAGATTTCTACATTAACTTCAATAAATTTTTTTCAGTTTCATGAAAAAGCTTGAGGGTGAAATTCTGACTAGTTGTTCTCTGCAGAAAAGTTTTCTTTTCCTTCCCTAAGATTGTGTAATTTTGACACATTCGAATATAAGAGAGGCCATTCATTTATTTCTTGTCAACAAAAAAAAGTTTGAAATTACCTCGTCAGCTTTTATCCATGTTGAATTTAAAATGAGAAAACTCCAATAATTTTTTTTTTAAGTGAACTTTAAAGAAAATGATCTATTTTATCCTTGTTTATCAATAAAGAATATGAATAAATAAAATAAGGAGGTGGTGGCTCATATGTAGAAATGGTTGTTATGTTAATTGTCTTTCATATAACCAACAAGGAATAACAAAAAAATAAATAAATGGGAAAATTTTTTTATTTGTTTATATGAATTTTTATGACATTTTACCTTTTCTTTAAAAAAAAAAAAAAAAAAAAAGAAAGAAAAAAATCAAGAAATAAAATTATCTAAATTTTGTTAAACTTGTTTCCCAATCATCTCCTTAAAATCTGACTAGATTGAAATCAACTGAAAAAAAAAATTAAGGTGGGGGGAAGAAAAATTTGGATGGCAACATTTTGTTATGTAAGAATTTATTAACAGGAGACTTTTATCAAAGATCAAACCGGAAATGAAGGTATGTGTTAAAAATTTCAAGTTTTGTTCTCATGGCAAGTGATTTGTTAAAATGATTTCAATTAAAGAAATATTTTACAAGTTTTAATGAATTTAACAATCACTTGATGCATTCATTAAAATCTTTCAGATGATATGAGAACAAATAACTCGTTTAAGATTAATACAGTCAATTCTGTCTCCAATATTTCTTCTTTTTTTTTTTTCAGGTTTGCTGACTGAATGGTTAAGATTTACAATCTCTCCCACCTTTGTCTATTTACACATTAAATGGAATCCCAAATCTATAAAATACTTTCATCATGCTAGAATGGAAGACAGAAAAGGCGAGGTCACTTGAACCCTTTGAGTGCATTTTCCCTCCTCATATTAACTCAACAGGTTGAAGTTGTCTCACAATGTGTCAAATTTTGCTGATACCAAATTGGCCAATAGATCTTCATCTTGCAGTCTGATTTTATCATTTAATCTCATGCTGAACGGATCAGTAATGCTTGATTCAAAGTCCACAAAAGTTTCAAGGGGAGGAGGAGGAAGAAAAAAATAAAAACCTTTAAGATATCTAAATTACAAACTTTATGGTAACATTCAAGGTTTCACCAAAAATTGATTTATCAACCTTTCAAATCTCAGAGAATTCATCCATTTGAAGATTTTCTTTTTTTCTAAAACCTGAGTCTTGAAATTCCAACACAGCGTTATTTCTTGCACTGACTGTAGAATGAAATAAAAACCTTATGCCTGGAAGATAGCATTTGTTACCATCAAAATTCTTCAGTCTTTACAGGTAATAATAAACAATTGGCAGAAGGAAGAATTTTCATTCTGAAAAAAAAAAAAAAAAAAACTTCTAAAACTGAGGTATTCAGAAAAATGATATGTTAGAACCACTTGTATATTTTGGAGCTTCTTAGAAGAAAAAAAGTTGAACTTTGGAAAAATCTCCTACCTTACCTCCTACTAAATTATGTCATGTTATTTCACCACTCGAACAGTTGTGATCAGAAACTGAGCAGCAAACGCAAAATGCCAGATTTCAGCACATTTTGACCAGTTGCAGTTTCTGATTTCCTATGTTTCTAAGTGAAAAGCCTGTTTTAGGAATTGCAGCAGGAAAAGTGCTGTTATCTAGGCTTGACACAGGAGACAAAAGCAATGCTGACTTAAGAAAGGCACACGGAAATAGAATTTATAAGATGAAAACAATAACACTAGAGTCCTTCAGGCAATCCATTGAAATGAGAGCTTTTAACAGTATTTCAGGGATTGGAGAAAGTTAAAAGCTTGTTTGCAAAATGATTAAACCCAAGCTCTTATCAAATTTAGGATTTTTAAAAATCTTTGGTTTATTATAGTTATAAAAAAATCTATTCCTATTTTTATAACTCAATATTTGGTGTAGAGAAGAAATGGGAGTACAGAATAAAATATTTGCTATTAAGAGAGGAGAAAAAAAAATCTATTAGTGCTAAAATATTCTTCCAATTTTAAGTGTTTATCTCCCAATTCTTTTTGTTAATTGAAACTAATCTCTGTGTTTTCTAAGGAACAGGCATGGTTTTCAGGCGTTCAAATGCTGCCTTTTCTAAGGCCTCTCTGTGGTCCGGATGGGCAATCTGGATAAGATGATAGGCACGTTGTCTCAACGTCTTGCCAAACAGATAAGCAATACCCCATTCAGTCACTACGTAGTGAACATGGGCACGAGTTGTTACAACACCACCACCTGAGAAAAAAAGAGAAAAACCGCCATAAAAAAAAAGATCATTATAATATCATCATTCATCTGATATCATAAACACCTATATTTCTTGGCAAAAAGGTTTAATTGTCTGTTTATTACAGATTAGTTGTTTATATGAATTATGATATAATAGACAGGAGTTATTAATCATTTTTTTATCTAAATGTCACACAATTTCTTTTTTTAATATTTTCTTTTGCTCTACTCCCACCAGTATAATACAATAACAAACAATTAGGATTATTTACAAAAATTAACAACTTTTATTTTAATCATTTCATCCCGAGGAAGGCAATAAAGCCACTAAGACATGGAGGCTGGTTACAGAGTGAAAGAATATAAAAAAAAAAAGGAGTGAGAACAATAAAAGAATCAAGACAGAAGATAACAAATTTTTTAACAGGTTTTATCAACATGGTTCCTTTTGGCATGATGCATGTGGGCCAAAACTTTACTTTTTGCTTTACTCCAAATTTTAGTGTTTGTGTCTTTTACAGATCACACTGAATCTTTCACATACAAGATGTTGAACAAAGACAATATTCTTCCAAATTTGTTTTATGTGTTCAATCCATGTGTGGATGTGCCTCCAAATGTTACTTTGGCATGTTTTTCTCCACATAACTACAATCAACATACTCCTCAAACTTTGATGGTTGTATTTCAATGTTTGATATTATCTTTCTGTTTATCTTTGTATCTAAGTGGGAGGTCTTCTGAGATTATACATCCATTGCCAGAAGTTGGTCATAAATGAGAAGTTACAGCAGTCTTTCATCATTCATCCTAACAACATGGCCAACCCATCTTAATTGAATCTCTGCATCAAGAAGGCAACTATTTGATGCACATTCTTTCTAATCATTACATATACAATACTAAAAATGCATTTTCAGAAAGAACATAAATGCTAGAATTTTTGCAATACATATAATAATAAGAGAAATATGAATTTTAAAAATTCCTTAATACTTATCTACTTTCTGTTAAAAAACACAAAATATTAACTTCACAGCCACACCTCCAGAATAGAAAGAGTTTATTTCTGCACCCCCCACATCATAAAAAAGGGTGTAACATTCTTAATCCTTCAAAAATAGTATTGCCTTATCCAATCAAAGTAATTGGTGAGGGTCATACAAAAAAGTTACATTAGCCTTGAAAAGTAAAATTTGATGATTGAATTAATGAATATTCAAGTTTTGTCACTTTATCTGTATATCGTGTATATCAAAAAGAAAAGGATTGTCATTATTCACGAAATAAGGTAATCACATCATAGACAGAATGAGGGTTAGATGCATCACATTAATGCATTGCTAGTGGTTTTTCTACACAGATACATTGAAACTGAAAGAAAAAAGGGATTGTCAATGGGAAGTTGTCAGTATAAGCATTATTAATATGTACCTGTTGTTATTACATCAGCTGTTACTCAAGATAATTGACTGATCTTGTAAGAGGCTTCAATTTTACTGTTTTGACTTTAGTCACATTTTTACAGTGAAAGATTTTTTGGCATTAACTCAAGATACAGAAATCAAAAAACTTCATTTTAATCTGACACAAAATAAACTTTAATAAAATTGTGCATGTCATTTGGGATTGAATATTAGAAAACTTCAAAAACATTATTAATGGGATGAAAAATTAAATTAAAGAGAAGGGAATATATTTACCTTGTTTAATATAGGGAATAATTTTAGACACTCCTTTTTTTGTGGATGAGGCCAAAGCAATGATTGGCTTTCCAAGACCGTCATGGCTAAGAGCTGCACCTCGGATGAAATCAACTTGACCACCAAATCCTGAAAGAAAAAAATGTTTTTTTGATGATTTGGTAAAGAAAATCTTAGTTTTCCCATTTTGCTTTTTATGAATTATGTTTTGAGAGAAAAAAAACTTTCCTTTTACTGTGTCTGAACACAACTTGAAATCCATTTTATCTCAGAAGCAAGAAGAATGATTATTCCTACATAAAATTCTAATTAGAGAAAAAAAACCTTGTTTTTGTAAGCAAATTACTTATTAAAACAAAATGGATTAAATTTCTTTTAAAGTGGGGGTATCTATGTGGTGGATAATTTTTAAATACCAACTTTTTATCATCTTTCTATATCTAACATACAGAGCTTTATATTCTGCCCCACCCTTGGCTGATCAACAGATGGCAGACTAAATTAAAATGAAAGAAAAAGAAATATGCCTCAAAGAAGCCTATTCATTCTAACCATTGTCACCTTGAGTAAATATAAATAGGTAAAAATAGTAAAAGGCAGCCTGATTGGATAAAATTGTCAAGAAGAATTCAAAATACAATGTAAAAGGAAAAAGTCTAATGTGTTTTTTAGATGCATTATTTCAAATATTTCCCTGTTTGACATCACAAGTTGGTTTTGAGTTGCACTAACAGACAGTGACAAGGGAAACGGCTGCAGAATGTTCCTTTCAACACTCATTGTGGATAAATGCAATCATTCTTTGAAATTTGAATTAATGATGTACAGACATGACCCCAGCATGTGCCACCTTTTAAAAGTGCCTGAAAAATCAAACTACGGGTTGACCCAAGTTTTGTGAGTGAATTTCTGTAGATAGAACTGTTTGGAAGCCATTGACTAGCTGCTCTCCTCAATGGATTCTCTTAGATGCCTTGGGGGGGGGGGGTTTATTTATTTAATTTTTTTTTTAATGAAATTTCCCTGCCCTGAGCTTATAAAGATCACCCAGATTATTAATTTTGCACTTTTGACCTGTTAAATGATTTTTCAACCTTTTTTTTTTTTTATGAAGTGTTGCATACTGAGAACCCCCCCCCCCCAGCATGACGTCACAAGTCATTGTGACCAAGGATTTGAGTGTACTAGCTTTGTTCAAACTGTTGATCATGCCCGATGATGTGATCCCTCCTGAAAACTGTAATGAAGGTCTGTTCAACATAGTGAACTATAAGCCAAGGGTTGGCTCTCTGGATGTTGAAGAAACACAAATGTATCTGAGCAGGCGTCAGCAACAGAGATTGGCTAGCTGCTCTAACAGACAGGTGTGCTTGGAATCAAGTAGCTGGTTATTAATATCTACAGACTAGATTATTAAACATAATTATTATGCTACGTTTTTTTAATTAAAACAAAGGAAGATTATAAATCTATTATTAATGTATTAATTTTACAAACATCAACATGAGATTTGTGTATGTTCTCAAGTACTTTTGTTGGTGCAAACAAATCATAGAAATATATGATACAAATTAACTAACTTACTACAGAAACAAAAATTGCATTTTGAATAGGGCTTATTTCAGTTTTTTTAATCATGACTCTGGAAATAGGGCTGAATGGAAATACTGAACTGTAAAAAAAATTATTTACAAATAACATTAACAATGAAAGCATGACTGATTTAACTCTATCCATATTTATCAATAAGAAGTGATATTTATGTGTTTATAATAGAATTCTTGAGACAGACTCAATAATAGCCTTGAAGGCATCTTCCTTTTTAGCAAAGTTATCCAAATGGTTGAAAAAGAAAATACCAACAGATGTGGAGAAGATGGAGGATGAGGTTAGGTTTCAAAATCCAATTTACGATATCACCTGTGCAATATGTAGCCAAAAGAATAAAAGGAATCTTTTTAATTAACTTCTTTATGAAAAAAAAAACAAAAAGAAATAAATAAAGTGGACCATACTGCTGATGGTCATACAGTAACCATAATCTTTTGTTGGTGCAGTGTTAGCTTTGGTTGATTGATTTGTTTTTTATGGCTTATCAACCTTTTGCAACTTATTTAAAGCCAGAAAATATTTTTAGATTATAAGAATTTTTTGGAGATAATAAATGATTTACTGTTACCAGTTTTACTAATTGACCCATAACTGGAGCGAAAAGAAGTGGATTCATACTTTTCCCAACAGTATTTGCATGTAAATGAATATAACAAACTTGACTAGAATTGGAACTTGGCTCTCCAATTTCAAATTCTGAGTTGTTATCCATTATACCACCTGCACATCAAAGCTTTACAGCACCTAATATTCCCAAGTGGTCACTCATCTAGATACTGACCAGGATTGATGATGCTTAACTTTGGTGATTGTACAAGAATAGGTGTTTCAATGTGATATGGCCATAAGCTTTGGAAATTAATTTGGATCTTCAGCATTGTCAGATACAGATCAGATAATCCACATGATTAAAGCCGTGATATAATAAAATCAACTCTTAGTTTCCAAACAATACAGTAATCAAATAGAATTTTTAAAGAGTGCAGCAGCTGTTGTATTTTGTGTTAACATTTCAAGCTTATTGTCTTGTTCTGTACAAATCAAAGAAAACCAAAAGTCTATTGTTTAATATTAACAAGTACCATGTCATTTTTTTTGTATTTATAGTTTGTATGACATGATAAATATGATATCTAATTAATTTTTATGCCTAAGATAGTACAAGTATACCTCAGGTTACATTGTTTTGAGTTAAGTTCTTCTCAATTGTATGTTGTTTGTCAAAAAATATATGGAACAATAAAAATCAAGTTTAAGTCATTTGATTTGAATTTACGTCTGTCTGTCACAAATATTGAAGTCATAATATCACTAGAAAAGTGTTAAAAGCATATAAAATCATGTTACTGTAAAATAAGTAAGAATAAAAGTCTATAAAATCATATCAAAATATGTACATTTACAGTAAATGTTAATATAATCATCATAAATCCTAAAGAACAAAATATGAAAACATCTGTGACTCTGTGTTGTCTTATTTAGTGGTCTGTAAGGCTTTCTCACTAATGAATTATTTTATTCAGAATACTGTATACATATCATAAATACTGTAATAGTCAATGGGGAGTGCTTATTTGCGGTTTATAGTTTGGTTATTTTGTTTTAAGTCATTTTTTGACCTAAGTCATGACCTCTGGAACTAATTAATGATGTAGGGTGAGGTATACCTGTACTCTCATCTTTTGATGTGTGTACGTGTATGTGTATGTATGTGTAAAAGGAGGATACTGATGACCAAATTATAGAAATACATTCTGGCCATGTCTGTCTATTGATGAAAATAAATTCATTATCTAAATAAGAATTCTGTCATTTCTTCTAACCATTCTTCTTTTTCCCCAACTGAGTCACAGAAATTAAAAACTTACCAGAGTAAATACGAGTCCCAATGGAATCTGAGCACACTTGTCCAGTCAGATCAACTTCAATGCATGAATTAATGGCAGTAACTCTTGGATTCTGACAGATGATAGCTGGACTGTTTGTCCAGGCCACATCGCACATGACTGAAACAAGCAGAAAAATAAACATGATATCAATTTGCCCAATTAAGTCTCCCCCATTTCTTTTTTCCTTAAGTAAAAATATATATTTAGGGTGTTTAATTATATAAATTTGTAAAACATCCATAATTGCATATGAAATGTCCAAATTTTATGAAAGTTAATAGAGTACAAAATCAAATACAGATTAAGTATGGATTGGAATCCAACAGGATGATAAGATAAAGAACAAATAGGAAACGTTAATCAATCTAACATGTTTCACTTTTATTAAGCTTCAGAGAATGAGATTGATTCATCATAGAATAAAATTGAAACATGTCAGTGATAAACGTTTCCTATTTGTTTTTTATTTTATTACATTATATATATATATATATATATATATATATATATATATAGCAATATGTATTTCTGATTTATTAACTTTTGAATAGTATTTCCGTTGATCTTATTTTTGTTTTTTCATGCAGCTTTCTGATGATCATTTTACGATTGTTAAGACTTCGTTTTCTTCCTAACACAAATTGATCAGTTATCTCCCTTCATCTATTAGCTACAAAAGTGCATTAAATTGGCTAAAAATGAAGTGCCATATGAAAAATATTAGATTTACATGACTTCAATATATTTTATTTAAAGAATTTAATGAAGTTATAAATTAAAATTTAAAAAAGTAATAAACTATTAGTTTTGCAAATTTTAAAATCATTTTAAAAAGGACAATTTTAAATTTGCACAAGTTTGCTTTTTTTCATTTGTTTTTAAGCTTCAATTTTTGGAAAATCAAAAAAAAATTTAACTAATAATATATTTCATGAAAAGTCAATTATTTTAGTGAGAATAAAAATGTGTACAAGTTTTTTACTACATTTTTATTAAAAACATAAAAATGCCTATATGTAAACAGCTTAAATGTGCCTGATAACAAGATCAAGCATTTAGATGCAAAAAAAAAAACAACAAAAAAACAAAAAAAAAAAAACAAGAGAAAGATTTAACGTTTTATGATTAGCTGATAGCCATAAATGATGAATCTTTATTTTGCTTTTGACTTCTGTCCTAAGCCCCTATTCTACAACTAAGAGAAGACATGTCTATAGGATGGGCAATCTGATAATTTTCTTTGAAAATATTTTCATATTCATTTGAGCTGATTCCAGGGCTTAAATTATAATTCTGAATTGCTTTGGAATTTTCACCATTCATGTTTGTGAAACTAACAACTTACAAAGTAAACATTTTTAATTACCACACACTATTTCAACAGCTTATCATCATACATAGAAAGTGAAAAGGCAGAAGAGACATAAGCCAACAATCATCCATGTGTCATTTGACACTCTCTGAGCCAGGGTTGTGACAAAGTTCACAAAATGTTCATTCACCTGTTAAGATTTTTGATCAGACAAAAAAAAATTTGACAAAATTTCACTAATTTACACAAGAGCAAAAGGAAATTCTATAATTTGATGATGAAACCATTAATGATCCGGTATTTTAAACTCTGCACCCCAAAATATGGTATTAGTTAATTTAAGGAAGCTCTAAATCCTGAAGCATTGCAACCATAACAGGATCTTATTACCCATGGTAAATAAGTTCCTAGATTCCACATCATCACCCAGGCAGACAATAATGCCCATTTCAGGAGAAAGGAGACAATGCCACCAACTAAGATGTATATTTGGCTTGTGGCAAATCAACTGTAAAAGGTGACAAAACATTTCAGCAGTCAATGAGCATTTTTTTTTATTAAAATTAATTTAAGCTTTTTACCTCTGGATCTAATGAGGCAGACTTTGGAGGCATTTAAATTGATTATATTTATTATTATTATTATTATTATTATTATTATTATCAAAGGCTTACTTTTTATCTTATTACTTGTTTATGCCTTACTCATTCAAAATATTTGTGAAGTAATTTTGGCTTATCAAGTTCGTACCAATGTGTCATTCTTTTTCCGAATGACATGTGTTAATATGTGTGTTAGTTGTTGCTGTTGAAATCTCTCAAGTGATGTGTTTTTTGCTATCTGCTACAGTTCTTTGTGATTCTATAATGTCAGGCCATGAGGTCTGATGAAGGATGGTCCTCACACGCTTCATTAGCTCAAAGCCATTTTTAACCATCAATCTGAGAAAGCTGTTGAATAAAATACAGTTTAGATATTTCTGAATGAGTTTGGCACTAAGCATAAGAACCATATGAAAATCTCAATCTGACAAGAACATCTCATTTTTAGGTTATTGTTTTGGTTTTGTAGCAACTTGCAGTATTGTACGAAACTATTCGTAGCACAGCTTATTCTATGTTCCATTTCCTTATCTTCCCTATTAAACCTATTATAACTGATCCATTTACCAAGGTTCCTGAAATGATTAGTATTTACTAATTCCACATTGTAAAGTTTTATGTTGGATTCCGTATGCCATCATCTCTTTCATTTCTAGATCAGTTTCCTTCCTAACCTTTTGTTTGAAGTTGTGTGAAATGTCAACATCTTGATTATATCATTATTTTCTCTTCAAGTTACATGTGATATCAATTTTAGTTGTTGCTGTTGTTGAAAGTTATCGAAGTTATCCACAATGATCGAAGAAGTGTGCTCTTCACAACAACCTATGGGTTTAATTTGCTCAAAGCCATTTTTATGCATTGATCTTAGAAAACGGTTGTATACAACTGACAGTTTAGATATTTCTTTAGTGTTTGCTAATTCCACATCTTGTACTTTTATGACAGATTCAAAGTCTGTCATCAAAGATATTTAATCAAATATAATGAAAAGATGTTGCAATCAGTGAAACTAGGAAAGAAAACTGTTAAGGATAAACATTAATGTTGCTGAAGCATATCATATGGATGCTACCTGTCTCCTCTCATCATATCATAAGGATGCTACCTGTCTCCTCTCATCATATCATAAGGATGATACCTGTCTCCTCTCATCACCTTCTATACTCTCTCCACAGCATGACTTAATTACACTAAGCAAAATATATTGAAAGTAATACAACAGATCATAGAAACCTGAAGACAAAAGCTGTTAAATGCGTATTGATGGATCCACAAGTAATTTTGAGATCAAGACAAATTATACAGACTGATACAGAAATTGTACAGAATAGTGCAATGAGTGATGATGTATGTGTGGTGTGACAAGAGATGGATAGAGGTTCATAACCTCTCGGTGCATTGATTGTCACTTTTATGTCATCAAAGACACATATTGGCTTATATTATTATCTGACCTGCAATAATCGTATTTGGAGAAAAAGGTTTTTCTTTCTGGGTATAGATTGTTAGAATAGAGATTGTACTGGATACACAAAGCAAAAATAAGTTTTGAATAATTTTTATTTCATTTTTTTGATATTTACCAAGCTTAGCTTAGTCTGTTGGCACACAGAAAGATCAGCATTTGAAATCCTGGTTTTGACCTGGGTTCAAACACCAACCTTTGGCACCAGTGGAGAAATATGCCACTATCTCAGCCACAAGGCAGGCCCATCAATTGATCTATATAACAAGAAAATAGGTAAATAATGTCTGCAGACAGGGTCTTGTATCATAAAATTCAACATGCCTTCAGCTGTTAACAGACAGTGGAACAAGAAAATTAAATCAGTTAAATTTTCAAAAAAAATATTGTAAGTTTTCTACGCATAATCTTCTTCATTAAAAAAAAGAAGAAAAAAGAAAAAAGAAGAAAAAAAAAAAGAAAAAAGTAGTTGATATTTTAAAAAATGAATTTTGTATAAATGATATGGGGTGGTTAAAAGCAAAATACAGCCACTCCCCAGAGTTATACAAAATCATACCCCTCTACAAAAAAAAAAAACATCTGTATGTTGCATGTACACTTTGCTTATAATTGTTTTTTCTTCAAAATGAATCAAAAGAAATAAATAAAGTGAAAAATAAAAATTGTACTGTATTTACAGAATGCAAACTGATATATAGAATATAGAGCTGATATTCAAATTTGATTATTACATTTACTACAAAACTGTATGAACATTTAAGAATAAATTAGAAATGTAACAAATGGTACAAAAATGACATGAAAGCTATCTGAAAATAGTTGACACAAACCCATTATACATGTGGCATGCCTGAAATATGTGCTCACAGTACAACTTCTCAGATAGCCTCATTAAGTGAGGAGTGGCAGTAGACACATTTGAAACTTCAGAGATAATCATTCAGCCCTTTCCTTTAGATGGATGCAATATTGATATTGCATAGAAGTTGAACACTCTTTTCTTTACTACTGTACTGTATGAACATTTAGAAATAAATTAGAAATGTTACAAATGCTGCAAAAATGACATGAAAGCTGAAATATGCACTCACTGTACAACTGCTTATTTAGTGATCAGTTTTTGGAAGACAACTCTGTAGTTAATTGAAGAGTGGCTGTATAATAACTGGTGTTATAAAAAGTGAATTTCTGATGAAGGAAAAAAATTAAAAAATTCTGATTCTTTTTAAAAAAACAAATATATAACTCCTAAAAGGAAACTCAATTCTTAAATCCAATAAAACGATATTTTAAACATGGGACCAGCATTTTTAGCCAAATTTAATAGACATATCCACATAACAGGGAATTGATAAAGATGCCTCAGTGTGAACAAGTGGTTAATAAGTATGTAGACTAGAGTGAGTTCAGTCTTTACTGGGGGTCTTGCACCAGACAAAACTATGCTTGATAAATATCACACAGGGAACTGATTTATGACCGATACCTAAACAACTTTCCAACTTGCAAATCAATTAGCAATCGTTAAGTCAAAATATTTATGTATATTTAAATATGTAAAAATGGAATATATGAAGTAAGGATG